CGCGCGGGCCGCGTGTGCGAGGGGCCCACCCGCCGTCGATGGGCTTGCCGGAGCCGTTGAAGATGCGGCCCAGCATGTCGCGAGACACGGGGGTCTTCAGGACCTGCAGGGCACATGGAGTAGTGTGTGTGTGCGTGTGTGTGTGTGTGTGTGTGTGTGTGTGTGTGTGTGTGTGTGTGTGTGCGCGTGTGATTGTGTTTGTGTACGTGGGGTGATGATGTCCGCAACGTTACCACCAAAGGAAGGCATTCTGCGTGCTGGGCAGCAGGACACAACAAGCGAAGCGTGGCGCCGAGGGCCCCGCATGATGCCATTGCTCCGGGGGCGTCGCAAGGGGGGCCTCCTCGGCGGCGGTCCCTGCCATGCCATGCACGCTGCCCGCAGCAGCTGCAAGGCCCGCAAGACTGCACTCGGACGGCGCCATTTCAAGCGCACGCGTGCACGATCAGCCCTTTGCGCCCGCAGCGCCCGCCCTGCCGCGACGCTCTCACGTCTCCGGTAAACTCCAGAGTGGTCTTCCGGTTGTCAATGCCAGACGTGCCCTCAAACACCTGGCCAAGGGGTGGTGTGTCGGGGCGGAAAGGCGCGGCAGGCGGGCGGGCGTTTGCTGAATCAGGTTGTGTCGCCGCCGAGGCAGGCAGGGGGTCCGGCTGCTGGCCTGCCCTTTGCAGAAGGGGCAAAGCAGGCAGGTGCGAGGAGGTACAGCTTGCCGTCACGTGGACTGTGGGCCGGGCCGCTGTTTGACCGGTCCATCCCTCGGCCACCTTGCTGCAATCATGTGGCCTTGTAACAGCGTGCTCGCGTCCACATGTATGCATGTGCGGGCGCCCGTGCACACACACGTGCGAGCGCGCATGTGCGCGCATGCGTACACGCAACCCACACTCATGCACTCAATGCCCCTCCAGCCGGCCACCGCAAAGAAACCGCGCAACGCCGCCATTGACAAGACTGCAATGCTTCTCAGCGCCAACGACCGGTGGCGCGGGAACCCAAATGTTTTCCAACCATCTGGCAGGCCCTGTCAGCCCGCCCCGGCAGCTTCCGCGCACCTGCACGACCGCCCTGGTGCCGTCCACCTCCAGGACCTGGCCCTTGCGGATGGAGCCGTCCCCGAGCCGCACCTCCACGATTTCCGAGAATTTGGGCTTCTGCAAATTGGATGTGGTTGACGAGACACATGGGGCACGTCGCATGAGGCACGCCCGGTTGTTTGGTGTGCACGGGGCGGAACGACGGAGGCGAGGGCTTGGGCGGTGGGCAGCATGGCGCTCGGCCACGCTGCCATGCGGATCGTGTGGCGGCGCCCGCGCACCTTGACGGACTCGACCACCACCAGGGGGCCGGCCACGCCGCCCACAGTGCGGTACTCTGCGGAGTGAAGGGGTTGGGCCGGTCCACCGGGGTTTGCCCGGGGCGGCGCGCGCAGCAAGTTCCCAGGGCACAACCCCATGACGATCAGCGAGCGCCGCTGCCTACGGGACGAGGGCTCTCATGTGCTCTGCCTTAGAGATGGAGGGCCAAAATTACCTATCCGTGGCTCGCATATGTAGTCCCGTGAGACGGCATCAACGTTGGCTTTGAACGCAAGGTCCTTGCTGAGCTTGTCCACGGCCGCGGTCGCCATTATGGGCCGCTGTCACAGCAATCTCGGGTTTGATCTGCAACTCCTCCAACACCGCGGCACCGTGATCACACTGGTTAGGGCTGCGATCTGAACCTCGCAGGTGCGCTCTTCACAGGCTCCGTCGCAAGTCGTATTTTTGTATTGACGGTAACAGATATGTGCACCTGCAACTGGAGCGGTCAAGACCATAGCTGGATGCGCGCACTGCGTGCTGCGCTTTCGCTACTGCAGCTGCCCTCTTGTCGACTCTCGTCACCCTGCTTGCACGGCTGGGTTGGTTCGCTCGTGCTACACGCACAAGTATACCAGTCCAAATCATCAAGATCTCAACAGGCAGGTTACAAGGATTCGTGTCCCCTGTATGGCGTGTGGGTGGCATTTAATGTTGAGTCACATGTTTCGACGTCAACGGTCTGGTGACCGACAACGTGCCAGGAAATAGTCCGAGTAGACGTTTCTATGCTACAGATCAAGACAATGTTCTGATCCAAAGCAGAAAGGAGTCCGCACGCATGTGGGTGACACAACGCCCCAAGGCCTGCGGGCAGTCCAGGGCGAGCCAGAGTAACTTGGTCCCCGCACTCATAATAGTCCAGAGGTGCATGGCATTCGTGTACTGCTGCGCCTGAACAACAAAAGCGCAGAATGTTGACAAGCGTTGATGCAGCCGCAACACTGCAAATCATGTCACCATATTCCCAAGCGGCAATCAAAGGAAACCCCAAGTAAACCATCGGATGTCCCTGAGGGCAGCTGCCCACGCAAAAGCACTGGCTCGCCCTTGGGCAGGTGCATGCGAAGGCGTGGGAGGCACACGCTATTAGGCACCAAGGCAGCTGCAGTTGCAGACAGTCCGGGCCTTTGCAATCGGGCAAGCTTCGCTTGGGATGCGAGAGCTGCTATTCATGCAGCGATAATGCAAGTCCTCGTGCGGTTCGAATGTTCCGTTATTGTACCGCTGGAAAGGAGCGGCATCAAGGCACAGGCAGCGCATGCTCTGTCAAAGAATCTGGACACTCGCACACCACCCCCCAGTGCCGGTACGGGCTCGCACAAACCCTCAAGGCTAGCCGTGAGAGGGGCGCAGCAGTCGCCACATGCACTCGGCTTTAGGAAAACACCTGAGCACGCGCACGTGCCGCATGCCATGCCAGCCGCTCAGACGCCCTGTCACCGGAACTTTTGGTAGCCGCACCGCAGCGATGCGAGCGCGGGCCGCTCCGTCAGCGGGCTCAACCCCGACCTCTCCTGATCGAGCTTCTCCACGGCCCGCCGCTCCACCTGGCCGCCGGGGGAGAACCGCATGACCGCGCGGTAGATCTCGCGGCGCGGCGACTTGAACATCTTGATGTGGGCCCAGCTGTAACCGGACCCGCCGTCCCTGGAGACCACCTGCACCGCACGCGCATGGCGCATTAACAGGGATGTTGCATGAAAGCGAGGCGCGGCTCACATTGTGTTGACCCCAGGCAGGCGAGGGCGCCACGCGGCCCCAAATATGTTGATGGCATCACCGAGGGCCCCCGCAGGCTACGCACCGCCCAAGCGATAGACCTGGCGGCGGCAATTTGCGTGCAGCTGCTTATGTGTTGGCTGCGGCTGCGGCTGTGACTGCGGCTCACCGAGATGAAGCCGCGCAGCTGCTTGTCGCACACATATTGCACATAGTTGCCCGACTTCCCGCCAGCTTCCTCCCAGCGTCCGCCCTGCGGTGGCCGGGAAGCAAGGGCAGGCCAAACGCTCATCCCAGACTGCAGCAGGTGCGTACTCATGCATTGTAAGAGGGATCCTGCCAGAACGCCAGCATTACCGGGCTTCTGCCCGCCCATACGGCCGATCGCTCGCCGGCCCGCCCGCTCGTAGGCGAGGCGGCCGCGGCGGTGTCGTGCACTCAGCCAGAGCGGCCCAGCCCTGTGCGGCTCTCACCACCTCGTCTCGGGTCCTGCCATTGTCGCCGGCCACAATGATTGATTCGCTGAAGCCATTCGCTGCCAGAAAATCCTGAGGGAGCCGCCGGTACTCCTGCATGGGCAATCGAGTTCTTGATGGTCGTGCCAGGAGCTCATCATGCAGGGAGGGTCCGGGTGCGAGACATCAGACGCGCAATCGTCTTTGCAGGCAGGCCGTACGCCGCAGCCCTTGGCTGCGGTGATCCCTGCTGAAAGGCGCGCCGCAGTGGGCCGCTGCGCAAGCAGTCCGGACGCCCCCACCTGGATGCTATCCAGGCGCTTCCACACGCCCACAGTTGACAGGGGCGGGCCTATGCTGCCGTAACCCTTGTGCACCACCGCGCGAAAGGCGGCGTCGGTTATGGCTGTCCGAAGTGCGAGGTCTGCGGCGGATTCCCCCTCGTCGCCGTCGCCCGTTGCACCGCGGCACATCGTCAGCATCGCCATGAACAGCAAAGCCACAATTATCCTTGCGCGCATCATAACTCTCCGCTGGCGGGCACCAAAGCAGTGCGCGACAGCTTTGCTTCACTGGCCCGGTGCGAGTCTGCACTCAACGCGCGATTCAAACGAAAAATAATCACCATTAACACCGGTGCCAGCACACGCGTATGCTATGAGGGCGACATCCGACGGTGTCACTCTGATGCTGGCCGCGGCGCTCGGTGGTGCATGTGAGGTAGGTGTTTCGATTTGACGTTCACATGCAAAAAAAACCTTGCTTTGTTTAATGCGCAGGCCTTCAAGTCAGAGGGACCTGTTTCAAGTGCAAGCAGCCAGCGGGCTGCTTATGGCTGTCACACCAAGCTGGCTAGGTTGCTCGATCAAGCTGGGGTGTGAGGACCAGGCGGCAAGTGGTGGCTTCGTAATTTCAAAACTCTTGACACGATACGGCAGGCTGGGAAGCATGGTATGCTTGTTAAGGGCAGCCTAGCTTCTGTGACGGCCGAGCGGCGGCGAACCCACATCAGTGCGGATCAAACCTACACCTGCGACCCTGACACGGCTCAAGGCCTTGCGGCCTTCCAGCCCTGTGCAGCAATATCACTGCCACGGCTTTCGCATGTGAGACGTGGCAGCGCGCGCCTCGCAAATACATGCACTGTCAATTGCATGGAGGTACCACAACTCCATGCAATGACAAGAGCCACCTGTTGCGTGGAATGACCGCACAATGGAACTAGCTGGTTGCTTGTAGGGGCATCTTCAACTCGGCAGCAGGTGGGGTTGAATCAGCAGCGGGTGAAGCCAGGAAGCAGTGTCCGATTGGCGCACCAGGGGGGAGCGCAGCACGACGAGATTGAGGGTGTTGTGCGGCGCGCACAGACGCAAGACGTGCATGTTCGAGCCGAATGGGGCATCAAGCAAGTCATGGGAATTGAGGCTGTTGCGACGCGTGATGCGCAAGCTGCAACAGGCGAGAGCTGTGTGCCGTGCCAGCGGCGGCCGTAGCCACAACAGCTCATTTCGGGTGGGGCTGGCGTCTTTGACTGTAGTCTGTGATCACCACATGAAACCGACTGCGGCTGCGACACTGCAGCACGTTGGGTCCAGACACCTGAGTAGTTACATGATCCACATGCATTCATATCAGGAATCACCGCGATGAAGGACGACCACACATACAGAGTCATTACAGCGTGTCAGCAAACACAACAAGGCGAGCATCGCGCAACACGGCCGCCACAGCACCAACACGAAAAACGGCACCTGGGCTGGGTGCGGCGCCGCGGCCTTGATGGTGTGGGGCTCAGCCCTTTGCAAAGGTGATGGCCATCGCGTTGGTGGGCGTGACCTTGAAGCCCTGCAGCCCGCTGAGCGCCACCCCTGACTGCAGCTCGTTCTCGAACTCGACAAAGGCGATGCCGGGCCGCGCGTCCACCAGGCGGACCTGTGGATGTGTGCGTTCGTATGGGCATTTGTGTGTGTGTGTATGCGTGCGTGTGTGTGCGTGGGTGTGTGTGTGTGTGTTTTCGTGTGTGTGTGTGTGTGTGTGTGTGTGTGTGTGTGTGTGTGTGTGTGTGCGCGCGCCATGCGTGTGCGCGCGTGCAAATGAGCAATTCACGGCCGCACGTGCGTTCAAGCACGAAAAGGCGTTTCAAATCAAGCACCGCCTCTGCCAGCCGCACCCGCGTCTGTAAGAACCAGACCCAGGCAACATCGTCCACGCGTCACGGCCCGCGCACGCCACCCCCCTCTCTCCCCCCTCCCGAAACGAAAAACCGCAGGGTGTGTCCACACTGTTCGCATCAACCCACGGAGGGGCGCCAGGGGGCCAGGGCCGACGCAACCGCGGCGCGGCTGCACCCACCTCCCTGAACCCTGGGAACTGCTGGAACAGCATGCCCAGCATGGCGTCGGTGGTGGCCTCTGGAAGGTTCTGCACAAACAGGATCTTGTTGGGCGGCGCGGCGCCGTCGGCGGCGGCGGGGCGCGCCTGGGGGTGGGGGGCGGATGAAGGTTGTTTGAATGTCGGGGGGGCTCTTGCGTACGGTAGTTTCTGCAGGCGTGTAGGCCTGTTGATAAAACTTTGCGCTCACGCGCACACATGCATGTATGTGTGTGTGTGATGTAGTATAGGTCGAATATGGGATGGCGGGTGATGAAAAGCAAGGGAGTGCAGATGTAGGTGTTGTGATCCCAGCACGCGGAGCGGGCCGCAAGGGAGGGTTGTGCCGTGCAGGGCGGCGCAAAGCGCTGCAGGCTGGGTTGGGGGTGGGGGCTGGCAGGCTGCTCACCCCGGGTGCTGCTGCTGGTCCTGGCGCGCCGCCGGGGGCCTTCTTCGACTTGAGAGTCTCTGGAAGGAGAGAGGAAAAGGGGGGGGTGTCATGGGCGGCAGAGCGGTGAGGGGCGGCGTCGGCGGGTAGCGGCCATCTGTAGTGAGTGTCAGCGGGCAGTGGGCTGCACAGCAGGGCCACCTGCCTGTCCTGGGCAGACCGCACAGTCAGCGCGGCGTGTGGCAGCTGCTCGGACTTGCAATCGCAGGCACGAAAAACTAAAAACCAGCGGCGGCAACAGGGTGCAGGGCCGGCGCGAGTCCATCATGTGACAAAGGGTGGTAAGGAAGGGCAGGCTGGGCGCAGCTGCGGCAGCAGAATGCAAGGCGCTCCCATTTTGTCCCTCACCCCGCGCCACGGCGTTCTTCTTGCTGCGGTCCTTGTCCGGCCGGTAGCTGCCCTCCAGCTTCGCGATGGCGTCGGACTTGCCGCGCGCGTACTCGATGCGCTGTCGCGGGCGGGCCGTTGCGGGGGCGGCAGGAATCACGGGCAACCCCCAAGGCGCCCTCCACGGCTGGCGGCCGGAACGCGCTCTCCGAATCGCTCGTGCTGCCTCCCGGCCCTTGCTCGCACATCTGCCCCACTCTGCCATGGCAGCCGCCACCAACACTATCCCTGCCGCACAGCTCGGCACCATATGAGACGTCCTGCGGCATGACAACAGGGGGTGCACCCTGTGTCAAGTTTCACCCCACCCCTGAACCCTTGGACCGCTCACGATGGGCTTCTCAAAGAAAGGGAACCCCTGCATCTGCCGCAGCGCGTTGGTCGCAGCCGCCACGTCAGCAAACACAACCCAGGCCTGGCCGCGCAGCCGGTAGGTCTTCAGAGCCACGACATCCACTATCTTCCCAAACTGAGAGAACATAGCGTGAAGGCATTTCTTCAGCTCTGCGGCGCCGCCGGGGAGGGGATCGAGGGGGTGAGAAGCGCCGGGGTTTCGGGGCGGCTCCGCTGGGGCCGCTGCCGTGGTGCGGGTGCAGTCGTGTTATAAATTGGCCGTCGTTGCAAGAGACGGGGCACATGCTGCGAGATGGTGTCGCAGCCACCTCGAGGCATGCAAACTCAACCGAGACTCGCCGACATGAGGCTGCACAGTAATTGGACGCTCGACCCAGCGCATGGGTACAGAATGCGGCCCCTGCGGCGGCCGCGGCAGGGCCACATGTGGCGCCTGCAAGGGCCACTCACCCTGCTTGTTCAGCTTCTCGTATAGGTTGTGTACGTAGATTGTTTGGTTGGGTGGTATGTCCTGCGCGCCGCAAGCCGCACAAGAGAGTTGCGATCCAGGGTGCTGCAGAATCCTCGAGGCCAGGCCCAGCGGCATCGCGTGGCACAAGGGGACCTCTAGATACCACACGCAGAAATTGTGCGCTTACAATGGCAAATCCAGCAATGTGCTGCTGCTACACCTTGACAAGGCACACATGCGATGGCCTTGCGCGGAGCACTGCGCCGCCGCACCACCGGTGGGCGATGCAGGGTCCAAAGAGCACCAGCGACCCCTTGTACGCGTAGAACAGCTAAGCAGGACACCCACCATATCTAAAAGAGCCCGCAGGCGCAGTAGACCGCTCTAGACAGGCCCCTCCGAGCTCCGCCGATCTGCGCCAGCCCGCCCGCAGCCCTTCTCGACACGAAGTTCCTAACTAAACTATGAATATGATCTGCAACTGGCGGGAGGCTACCAAAACTATCACCTCAGATCACCTCGGCTGCTGCTTTGTATCGCGAAGGCGTGTGTAAAGCGAAACAAAAAATGTGTCAGCAACGTCGTGAGCTGCGTTCTGGCACTGTCATGGCCTCGTGCTGTCAAGTTGCTGCAGGCAGCAGCAGCAGCAGCACTGCAGGTGCAACACTTCGAGGCCGCCACCATCCAATCCAGGCCAAGTCTATCATGACAACACGTTGAGTAAAATGTCACCAGTATTCTGAAATAGTTCCAAGCAGCTGCTTCCGTTGTTGCGCGCCCTGTTGCGGCATCATCAGGCTGGAGGTAGCGAAAGCTGTTCAGTGACCATGTGCTGATAGAGTAGACGCATGGTATCAAGCCTTGGCTCGTACGAGGTGAGCTCACGCCCTGGACCCGGAGAGTGCAGCCTGCAGCAGCCAATCGCAGCACATTTGCGTTATTTCCAGTGGTCGGATGCACGTTATGCAGCTGGTGGGGACATTGTTTGTGGTCCAATCGGGCAGGGCCTTCCTGCGACGCATGCACGCCGCCATGGCGCGCCCCTGGGCACTCGGCGCGCTGCGATGCTGCACGGCTGGCACGAATCCTGTGCGCCTGCACGGGGCTGACGCGGGGGTCAGGCGGAGCTGCTGCGGCTCCTCTCCCGCCGCAGCTGGAGTGCGCTCGGCAAATGATCGCCAACGGCTCACCTCATCCCACAACCCAACAGCAGGGCCCGTGGATGCCGTCCCCAGCGCCGGCCTCCTGGACGGCGCCGGCCTCCGGCCCTCAGCAACCACAGCAGCAGCAGCGGCAGCAGGAGCAGCAACACGCCCCGCCGCCGGGCGCCGCCCCCGCCGGCGGCGGCGCCTGCGGCGGCACCGCCGCGGCGGCGGCCGCGCTCTCGCCCAGCTGGCGGCACGCGCAGGGGCCGGGGGCGGGGCTGCAGAACCTCGGGAACAGCTGCTTCATGAATGCAGTGATCCAGGCGCTGACCTACCTGCCGCCCCTCGGCAACCTGTGCTTGTTCGGCGCGCACGCAAAGGCGTGCACCCTCGCCCCCGGCTCGTGTGTGCTGTGCAAACTAGAGACTCAAGTTGCGCGTCTGCTGCGGCGCGGCGCGTCGGCGGCGGGCGCGGCGGCGGCGGCAGCGGGCGGCGGCGGTGCAGGCGGAGGCGGGTTTGGGGCGGGCGCAGACTGCCCTGAGGCGCTGCACAGGGCTCTGCCCCTGCTCAATCGGTGGGTTGAGAGCTCGAGACTTGGACTGATAAATTGGCTAATGTTGGAAGAGCCACCCGGGCAGGCCGGCAGTGGCAGCACGGACGGACTCGGCCGCGGCAGGCAGCAGCAAGTGCTGCTCTGCTGGGTCGGCCGCTGGCTTCATGTCTCGCAAGCGCATTGCAGCAGCAGCAGCAAGTGCTGCAGTAGCAGTAGCAGCACTTGCTGCAATACGCTTGGGAGACGGCAAGCCCACCACCGACCCAGCAGAGCAGCGGCGCACACACGACGAGCCGAGCCGCGGCCCCGCCCCCGCGGCTGCACACACGTCCGTGCGCTGGCCCGCCGCGACATCGCTCTCGCGCAACCCCCTCGCGCCCCCGCCCCTGCAGATCTTTCGTGCGCGGCAGGCAGGAGGACGCCCACGAGCTGCTGCGCTGCCTGGTGGACGCGTTGGAGCGCGACCTGCTGCGCCTCGAGGGCCGCTGGCAGCCGGGCGGGCGGCGGCTGCAGGTGCGCCGCGCCGCTACTCCCCGCCGCGCCGCGCCGCGACCCGCCGCGACCCGCCGCGACGCGCAGCGACGCGCCGCGCTTCCAGCCGGGCGGTCGGCGCGCGGCGGCCCGGCCGACGCGCCGGGCTCCGTCCAGCAAACGCGCCGCCTTCTGCGCGTCCTGCGCTGTGTGCCTGGCCTTATCTTTTCTTAAATCCTGTGAAGAAATGCTATATCTGAATGCCATGCGCTGCAACGCCCTGCCCTTGCAGTGCCCTGGGACCCTGGTGAATGTGCTGTTCCAGGGGGCAGTTCTCAACACAGTGGAGTGCCTGCAGTGCGGCCACCAGTCGAACACATGGGACCCCATTCAGGTGATTGCCTTGAGCCGCGCCGCACCCACCTCTACCCCGGCCCGCCCGCCCTTGAGCAGGCTGGACGAAGGCGCTCGGGTGGCAGGCGCAGCGCGGCGCCGCGCGCGTGGCTGCGCAGGCACATCCCAGGGGCCGCCTGGAACCCGCCTGTTCTGTCCGGGCTGTGCCAACGTCCATCATGTACTCTGTACTTTTGGTGCACTTTGCATACCAGGATGCCATACCTACCCATTCCATCACGGCCGTTCTGATTGTCAAACCTATCTCCAGGACCTGTCGCTGGAGATCGCGCGCGCGTCGTGCGTGGAGGACGCGCTGCGGCGCTTCACCGCGCCGGAGCAGCTGGACGGCGCAAACAAGTACAGGTGCGGGGGGGGGGGGACGGCAGCGACAGCCTGTAAAGAGGGATGGGTTGCGGGGTGTTGGCGGGTTGCATGCCGCCTGTTGCACGCGCGCGGCCTCGGTGGGCGCGTCGCCGGAGAGGCGGCGGCGGCGGCGGAAGGGCCCCAGGTGCGAGGCCGCCTGCTGAGCCAGCATCGTATTTTTCGCGTCCGTTTCCTCATCGTCGCAGGTGTGAGGCGTGCAAGCGGCTCGTGGCGGCGCGCAAGCAGGTGCGGGCGGCAGCGCTTCGGGGCGAGCCAGCCGTGGCCACTCCATCCCTTTGCATCCCGGTCGCTGTTGCACTGGGTGGGTGCATGGCAGTGCATGCACCCGCGGCCGGCCTTGAAGGTCCACACCTGAGCTGGCCGCTTGAATTCGCACCGCCGTTGCGGCTCGCAAGCCGCCGGCCTTCTTCTGTGCTGGCGCCCGGCCCGCGTTTGCTTGCCTGTCGAGTGTTTGCATATGCACTCACAGCCGGGCGTCGCCGGGCGTAACCCCGTGGCCGCCCCACCGCAGATGACGATATACGACGACCCCAACGTCTTAGTCATCCACCTGAAGCGCTTCGACGGCTTCCACGGCGGGAAGATCTCCGGCCACGTGGCCTTTGGGGACCAGCTGGATCTCACGCCCTACCTCTCGTGCCGCAAACGCAACGCGCGCCGCTGGCAGCGCTGCTGCGGCAGGGGCAGCGGCGGCAGCAGCGGCGGCGGCGCGGAGTGCAAGGGCTGCTTGGCGGCGGCCGCGGCGGCGGCGGGCGGCGGAGGCGGCGAGGGCGCGGGCGTGGGGCGCAGCGTGTACCGGCTGCACGGGGTGCTGGTGCACTCTGGGCTGAGCGCGACAAGCGGCCACTACTACTCTTTCGTGCGGGACGGGCTGCAGCCGGCGAACGGGTGGCACTGCGCCAACGACAGCAGCATGTACAGGTGGGCGCAGGCTTTGGGCTGAGGGCTGTGGGCTATGGTGCTTTGATCTGAGTGCGGCAAACGCTGAAGATTTCCTCGTTTCTGCGGCTTGTTTCAGTTTTCGCAGCCGTGCTGCAAGCAGCGCGCTGCAGCGCTGCGGCTGCGCGGGCGCCGGGGCCACTCTCCCGCGGCGCCTGGCGTGCACGCGGCGTTGCAGGGCAAGCCTTGCACTCGGCGCGGGACCCCTTTTCCGACGGCCGCCACGGACGGCCCCTCGCCAGCGCTCCCTCTTCTCTCGACAAAACGCGTGCCGCACTCTTCTGAACGCCTCTGTTTCCCAGGGTTGCCTGGCGCAGCGTGCAGGAGCAGAGCGCCTACATGCTGTTCTACGTCCGCACCACCATGAAGCCGATCGCCGAGCTGCCCAAGCCGACAGAGGCCCCGGGCGTGCCGCCGGGGCCGGCAGCCGAGCGGCCGCCGGGCGCATCCCTGCCGGCGAAGCGGCCGGCGCCCATCGGGCCGCAGCTGCCGCCCGAGCTCGAGGCGAAGCGGCGGCGGGCGTCTGAGGACGGCGGCGGCGCCGGCGGCGGCGGCGGCGGCGTGTCGCGGGCGCCGATCGGGCCCGCGCTGCCGCCAGGGTGGAGCGGCGGCAACCACAGCGGCAGCGACGGCGAAGGCGACGGCGACGTCGGGGACGAGGTCCCAGCGGCGAGGCCGGCGTCCCCGTCGGCGGCGCACGGCGCGTTCAGCCGCGCAGCGGCTGGTGCGCTTACCAGTCAGCAGCAGCAGCAGGAGCAACCGGCGCGCGTCGGCGGCACGACGCGCATTGGGGGCCCGCCGCGGTTGGGGGGCCCCATCCGGCAGCTGCAGATCAAGCTGAAGCCCAAGGCAGCCGCCCCCAGCCAGCAGCAGCCGCTGCCACCCCAGCAGCAGCAGCACCAACAGCAGCACCAGCAGCAGCAGCAGCAAGCGGAGCGCCAGCCGCCCAGCTTGACGGCCGTGAAGGCGCCGGCCCCCTCGCCCGCGCCTCTTGCCGCGCCGCAGCCTGGCGCGGCGCAGCAGCAGCAGCAGCAGCAGCAGCAGCAGCAGCAGCAAATGCCGCAGCCCTCCCCCGACCCCGCGCTCGCCGCGCTGCGCAGGGCGGCGGCGTCTGCGATCTTTGAAAAGATCAAAGGGGCGAGCGACGCGGTGGGCACCTTACTAGACATCGCCAGGGGCCGACACGCCCAGGGCCTCCCCCTCGCGCGGCCCAGCGAGATGGAAGCTTCCGAGCGGCTGCGGATCCAGCGGGCCGTCGGCAAGGCGGCCAACAGCGCGGGCGCGAACAGGCAGGCGTGGGCGTTCATGGAGGCGGCGCTCAATGGCGGGGACCCCCGGCTGGGGGCGTGGCGGGAGAGGGTCGAGGAGGAGGCGCGGGCGGAGGCGGCCGCGGGGCGGCGCGGCGCGGAGGGGCCGTGAGGGCGCTTCGGGCGCGGGCGCGCGTATGCCCTGCAGCGAGCGTTGGGCAACTGAATTGTCGCGCGGGATGTTGCCCAGCTGGCGCGGCGCCCTGCAGGGGTGACTCAATCCGCGACCCGGGATGATCGCAGAGAAAAAGCACACACAACCGGCGGCGGCGCTGGACGCGTCTGCATTCGAGCATGCACCGCATTCTTGCAGCGTTCCAGGCACGCAGAGCAGCGGGTTGAGCAGCGTTCCAGGCAGGACAGCTGAAATTCTGAGAGTTTGCCGGCGGCGAGCCACGGCTGTGGTCGTGGCGAGCGGACCCGCGGCATGTTACCCCCTGCGAGTGTCGTGCGCTGTGCGTGCTGCGCGCAGGTTGACCCATTGTTCCAAGACCGAGGTGCTGGTGACTTTTGCTTCGCCCGACAACGGCTAGGAACACCCAGGCCCGGCTGGGCCGGGGGCGGCCCAAAAATGGCTGCACACCAAGCCTGGCATACCAAACCCAAACCGAATTTCCGTAATTCTCTGCTGTGTTTGTCTGGTCGAGGCCGGAGAGCCTAGTCGCGAGGCCGGCTGTAACTGAGACCCTTTGTTCAAGTTTACGCAGGCAGCAGGCATGGCGCGGCGCCACACACACCACAGAGGGCGGTGCGGGGGCGCCGCAAGGCAGCATGCAGCCGCAGGGCAAGGCCTCGCGAGACTGCAGGTCACAGGTCGCCTCTGACAAACGAGCCCGGCACTTTCCAGTGCTTTTTTGATCACTGCCCCTTCTAGCTCCTCCTCACAAACCCTGACCAGCCGATCAGTCGCCAAAGCAGTATATTCTGCTGGATATGTCCTTGACGAGCCACTGGAACCCCTCCAGCAGGCCGTCCCCCGTGTGAGCGCTGCACGCCACGATGCGCCAGTGGCGCTTGGCAATGTCTTTGAGGCCCAGGGCCTGGCAG